GTCGGCGAACCGTGGAGAATTACCGCATCTTCGCCAGTGTTATACTCGCCGGCGCATCACTGCTGTCAACAAACCTGCCAGAACCACGACTACCATCACCATCCCAACCTCCATCACTCTGACCATCGTCACCACCGCCATCACCACACCTTCTCCCATCAACACCAATCCAAGTTGGATTACGACTGGGACAATTATTACCAGCAGCAGCAGGAGCAGCAGCAGCAGGAGCAGCCACAGCAGCTGCTTTGGAACCGCCGAGTTTCTGTCTCCGACGCAGATGAACAACGTCCTGACGGCAACGCGCAGCGCGGCTGTCAGAATTCGCCGTCTCTCCGGCGAATGAGTAGCGACTCCGCTGCTACCATCCGTCAAAGCTGCAGGTCAAGGTTCTCGGAATCTTCGTCCGAACCGCACCGCGGGCTACAGCCGTTTTGGTCGTTGCCGTGCATTCGCCCGGCCACCGCGCTACAGCCGACGCGGAGCAAGGGCCATGTGACTTTATCGGAAGTGCAGACAGCCGTTTCGCCTGTAAGCCTTCATTCCGTCCGCAACAGCGGCCGCCTGCTGCTGTTTCAATCCAATCAGCAGTCCGGCAAAGGCGATCGGTACGGCCGCTCCGCCCGCAGAACGTCCTCTTTAAAGAGTGGCGTTTTAGAAGCAGCCGCTATCAGGGCAACATGTGTCGTGAACGACTGCTCGAGCGTCAACACCCCACCTCGCTTCAATGGGCACAGCCAATGGTCCGTTTTTTCTAAGGTTCCAGACTCGAACATCCATGTGAGTCGTGGCATGCATTCTCACTCGCGCATTCCTGGTAGTGGCGACAGCAGTGACTCGGGTGGTTTTGCAATGAGTGACATCAGCAGTGACATAAGCAGTGACGCCGGCAGTGAGCATGGAAATTCTCCTCCATCAATGAAGCATCTGGTGGGGAATAGTGCACAGGCTCTGGGAAGCATGTGATCGGGAAATTAGTATCAATTATTTGCTGGGACGCTCGATTTTCACCAGTTTTGCACGATTGCTGCAGCAATTTCTGAAGCATATCGTGCAGGTGTACCGTATCTGTCCCTGACACTTAGCATGGAGGATTTGGGGTCCAGACCAGAACCTGACTTTTGGAGTAATCTGAAGGACCCCTACCCGGGCATGATGCAGTGATTTGTTTTGCACATATTGTGCATAGTGCTGACATTTTCTCCCTTGCCGCAGTTCGTTCATTCAGTTTCATCCAAGATCTGAGGTAACGTTTTGTATCTGGATGTATTATTGCAGCAGTATGCTCGAATAACGAGAAAATGTTCGGAAGAACAATGAGTCTTCTTGGTGAGTCCCGAAGTCCCAACCAGAAATTTACTTCATGTTAAGACGACGCTAACAAAGAATTCGCACAAAGCGAAGTACCTTTTTGCGGCTGCGATGCATTGGGGACCTGCGCTGTACACGAAACGCGACATCGATAATTCCGCGTCAGCCCCCTAGGTCGGGTAATGGGGGAAAGATGCACATGGGCAGCGCCGCCGCCCTCACCGAATGCCTCCCCGCGTCACCAGATGGTGGCGGTGAAGTGGCGCTTACCCATTTCTTCCCTAGTCCACCGCAGGTGACCTATGGAGCCTCGAGATTTCCGGAAACCCACGTCACCTTCAAAAGCATCAAAAATCAGTTTTCTTCCAAATCACTCTGGAAATCCTGAGATTCACTCCAAGATAGTTTAGACGGATTCAAAGCTATGCTACGGCATCGTACAAGATTCTCGAAAGGCTATTCAGCTTCCAGTCACCTCGTGTATTTATTAGGGCGTGTGAGGTCGGATTTGAAATTCAAAAAAAAGTGCGAACTTTGTGTGGTTACCAGTTTCGCCAATGTCGCATAAAGCTACGAGCGAAACTTCGTCAACTTTGGGTTTGGCAACATGCGAACTGCAAACTTGAACAAGACTCGAGTTTTAGTTGTGAACGTGCTTCGGCATGTTCACATTCACGTGTGTGATTTCCCGCACGTTCGAGCATCTGGCGAAATGTGCGAGCGACTCACGAGTAGCAACAGTTTCACAACGAACTCACCACAGCCTTCGTGTACTGAATAGAGACCACGTGGCGATAATCGGGTAACCTACTTTTTAGAACCGGGTAACCTACTTTGTAGAAATGCGGTTCGGTGCGTTTTTACAAGTTCGAATACGCGCACTCGACCTTGTATATGTGTGTGCTTTTCTGCAGTGTTGTGGTCCAGATGTGCGAACCCCGATACAATGAAAGTCGAGTTTGGTTCGACATATGTTCATGTAGCACAACTCGCCCTTAAAATGTAAACTTTCACAAATTCCACCGATCACACGCGCCCTTAGTCTATTTGAATATCCGCGACTTCGGATCAAAATTCTCGTCGATGCTAAGAATGGACGCCTCGCGAGTCTTAGGTTTTTTGGACGAGTTAGCGATGACAGACAGCGGAAGCAGCAGCGCGTTTAGCGAGCACTTCGAACCTCGCGGCCGCGGCGCGTTCAGCGGTGCCTTGAGCGGCCCCTGTGACAAAACTGCTGATGGAAGCGGGTACTGCAGCGACGGCGAGCACCCGCGTAGCGCGAAGCACACAGCGCGTTCTATTGCCAGTAGAAGTGGTACCTCTAAAAGTGCTACGACCAGCCCTCACTGGCAGAAGCAGCACCAGCTTCGTCGTGGTTATGCAGAGTCCAATGACTGCAGCAGCCGCGCTCAATCACAGCTCAATGAAGACCGCGCATGGGAGGACCGCGCATCAGAAAAATGCGCAGCATGGGATGAGCGCGCATCGGAAGAACGCGGCGCGTCAGAACGCCGCGCATGGGATGAGAGTGCAGCATGGGATGAAAGCGCGGGGAGAGAATTCACAGGACACGTGGCGACGGGGAATCCAAAGTCACGCCGACAAGGCGAATCATCCTACCCGTCCTCCTCCACACAGCTGCTCTCTCCCAGCGCATCTTCACCCTCCTCCCCCCGTCCTGCCTCCCCAACCCCTCCCGCGTCCCCCGTTCCTCCATCCGCTGCCATTCCGCCTCCATCTCCTCCCCGCTTTTCTCCTCCGTTTCTTGCCCCTCCGTCCCCGTCGCTCTTTCCGCCACGTCAGCACCCGTCTCCGGCCGCCCATTCTAACCCACAGTCGCCAGTCGCCTCAACCCATCCTGGTCACACACGATTTTCTCTTGTCACCTGCTCCACCACTCCAGCCGCCCTTCCCCCCAGTCATCCCAGTCAACTCGGTCAACTCAGTCAACGCAACTGTCCTGTTCGCCAAAAGGAGCTACAGCCGGCATCGTCGCGGCATGAGCTACAGCCGTTCTGGTCCCTGCCATGCGTCCGGGCAGCTGTAGCGCTCCAGCCGACTCGGAGCAAGGGCCATGTAACACTGTGCGAGGCACGCGCAGTGTCACCTGGTTACCACCACCATTGTTACCACGAAAACTGTCAGCGCCACTCGAGGAATAAGGACGTGGAAGCAGTGAGAACAATTTCTCCTGTTAGTATGCGGTGCATGAGGAGCCGTGGCCGGTTCATGCTGGTTCAATCACCGCAGAGAGGGGTGTGCCAGCCACTTCCTCTGGTTGTCAATACCGCCAATTCTATTAGGGCGAGTGGACTTGGCAGCCAAAGCAGCAGATTTAGTTAACTAGTCTATCTGCGATTAAAGCTTGATTATTTTGGGAAAGAGTAATGAATATATCTACTATGGCTGATGGCGGTTACCTTTGCTTTGGAAAGTATGCAATGAAGTTTGAGGAATTATTGCATGTAGAATGTAAAGTCTCGCTCACTTTTTTATCGTGTTGCGAGCCACGAAACAGCATTTCCACGGAACGAGCCCCCATTGTGGCTGCATCGTTACATCGTCGCTCGTTATAACGCAATCACGGAGAAGAAACCGACGCGACTCGCCCGAAGTTGGCTTTCCCAGGCCAAGCAATTCCCGAGGCCAGCAGGCAAGCACGCAGCCAGCTGGCCAATCCGCTGTCAGCATTTCGCGCTGTACCCGTCTGGTTCGGCACCCCTCGGCTCCCTCTCGATTCCTCCTCTCCCCCTTCAGTTCGTCTCGTCAACCTCCAAGTTCCAAACCAACCGCCACTTTTTCCTCAGCGTGCCCACCAATTTCAAGGCCCAGCCAGCAGCAGCACCCTCTATCAGCCACACCGCACCACACCACACCACACCACCAGAAGTTGTGCATTGCATCTGTTGACTTCGTCCTCGAACCCTAATTTCTCCCGCCATTTTTCTGCGAAGACGAACAGCATAACGTAGTCTACTCACCTGTTAGGACAGCGTGCGTCGTTGTCTCCGTCTTTATTAGAAAGACATGTCTCGCTCACCCTGTTCACGCTCTGTAACGCTTTATAGAGTGTGTTTCGGTTTCCGGAACTGACGTATCTAGTTCGTGCTTCTAATAGGTCGGTCATCCTGGCTATATTTTTCCGTTTCCCATTGACATAGTACGTTATCAACTGTCCTTTTTCCAATTACAGAAAGCTTCGTGCCTCTTTTTCTGTCGCGTTTTTTAACCGTTAACTATTATTGTCGGACTTTCTTCCATTTGTTCGGGGAAGTTACGTTCTCTTGCCTAAAGCATATTACACTTTCTTAGGTTACCAGTTTAGTCAGTCAACCTGGATCGATTTACACGGCGCAACTCCTTAACATAACATGGACGGCCCGGGCCGCTCATCGGGACAAGGCCAATGGCCGCCGCGCAATCTAGGAATCACAGCGAGCCCGGGACGAAACCCTAATGGTATGAACCCAACCACTCCGGGATCGTCTCGGGTAGCGTCTGGCGGGAGCGGGCGAGGCAGAGGCGGCGCCGTTCGCTCGACCGTCAAGTCCGTCAAAAAACAGACGTCCGAACGTTCAGATGACGAAGGAGATCAATCAGATCGATGGCAAGACGGTCCCACCGTGAACAGAACCCATTCGTACAGCAACCCGGTAGCGTACTCGGAAGATGACATGACACCACGTGGCATGCCGTCGCCGTCGCCACGTGGCGGGTATGCCAGGGGGGGTGGCGGGAGGGGATCGGCGAGTAGGCGGAGACAGCCGTCGGGGGACGAGAGTATGGACATGGGCGGGCAGGAAAGCGGGTACAGCTCATCACGGAGCGCATCGAGACGACAACCAATGGATGAGGTGAGGAATTGCATATGTCAGTACTCTTTTTTTATCACTGTCTTTATTGATTTTTTTTTAATCTTATTCTGCGCAGTGTTTTTGCATCATCAGCTTTTATCAGCTGTTTCTGCTGTTTACCCCTTCCCGTCGTCTTGTTTCCACGTGGCGCTTTCCCATTTCGACAGGACGAGCGGTTTTCCCGAACCAACAGCTTCGGCCAAGCCTCGGTCAGTTCGGCCCATTCCGAACGCATGATCGACGACGAGCGGCGGCCGGGTGGGGCCCGCCCCTCCGTGTCCCGCACCTCCTCCTCCTCTTCCGCCGTCTCCGCCATGTCCGCCATGTCCGCCATGTCCACGGCTTCCGCGCACGGTCCGCGCAGCCCCGCGCCCGCACGCTCGAAGCTCGGCGCGGGCGGAAGCGGAAGCGCGAGCGGGGGGAGGAAAATGTGCAGTATTTCCGCGCGAAGACGATCGCGGCAGTGGGGCGCGGGGCGGACAATAGTAGGACCATCTCGGGGAAGGATGTTCCGCGGCAGCGACTGCCCATGCTTCCGCCGCCCGGAGCTCCGCAAGTCGTGCAGGTATGCGCCCGCCTGGGTACCATTGAATGCGGTATGCGCCCCAGGTCTTTTTCGGGTCGACCAGTGAAAGTGGCAACAGTGCCAGCTAGGTTGAATGTCCGTGTGGGGGGTTGTTTGTGTGTACGCGCGCACGCGCGCCTTTCGCTTCATCTAACCACTTCCTTATCTTCTCCCTCATCCCCCTCCCCCTCCCCCGCTCCCCACCCCCCGCTCCCCGCTCCCCGCTCCTCGTCCCCTGTCACCCGTTCCCGCTCTCCGTCCCCCATCTCTCACCCGCTGCAGTGTCAGTGGTGCTTCCAAACCCTAGCCGTGCCAATAAACCTGCCCCCGCCGAAGAAAGGGCAGCAGAAGCTGCGGTGCGGCAAGTGCCTCAAGGTATCGCGCTACGCGGTCTTCCTTCCGCCCACGGCGGAAGAGGACGAGGAGGCGGAAGATCAGCCGCCGCCACTGCCTCCGCCGCAGCAGCAGCAGCAGCAGCAGCGGCGGCAGCAGCAGCGGCAGGGGGAGGAGGCGGAAGTGGCGGAAGAGGACGAGGAGCAACAGGCGCTGTCCGCGCGCGGAAGGTCCGCGTCAACGGGGACTTTTAGAACGCGGAGTTTCCAGGGCAATGCGCAGCAGCAGGCGGGGGCGATGGGCGCAGGGCGCGGAAGCAGCAGCGTCAGCAGGGGCACAGGGAATATGTCGGAAGACGACTCAGGGGCGGGGATGCGGGGGCCAGGGGGCAGGCGGAGCGTGAGCGGGGCAGCGCGCGGTGGGGCAGGCGGGGGAGGCGGGGGAGGGGAGAGTGATGCGGGGAACGAGTATGGGGAGCAGGGGGGAGGGGGAATGCCCTTTCCGCCCCCGCCAGCAGGCAGACACCGCAGATCAGGCTCCAATAGCTCCGCGGCTAGCAACAGCAGCGCGCGCCAGCAGGCGCAATACGGGGGCGCGGGGCCAGGGCCGGGGGGAGGCGGAGGGGGCGGGGGCGGGGAGTTAGCAGGCGCAGGTCCGCGCAGTGCAAGAGGGGCGGGGCGTGGCGGAGCGTTCCCCCAGCCGCACTCGCGGAAAGCGTCTGTAGAGTCGAGCGGAATGGGTGGTGGGGGAGGGGGCGGATGGGAGGATGGCGGGGGGGAGAACGGGCCTGGGGGGCCCATGGGCGGCGGAAGGGCTGGTAGAAGGGGAAACGGAAGTCGTGGCGGGGATGAGGAATACTATCAGCAACAGCAGCAGCAGCAGATGATGCAACAGCAGCAGCAGTATCAATATGGCCCGGGCAGTGCGCGTGGGGACGGGCGGTCGTCTCTAGGGAGGCAACATTCAGGGGGGTTCAACCCCGCATCCCCCTCCCCCAGAGGTCGCGGGCGGGGCGGGCAGCAGTTCGGGCAGCAGCAGCAGCAGTACGGGCAGCAGTACGGGCAGATGCAGCAGCAAGGGATGGATCCCGCGGATGGTGCGCCCAGTCCCAGACCCATGGGGGGAGGGCGCGGGGGGATGGGTGGCGGAGGCATGGGCGGAGGCATGGGCGGAGGGGCTATGGGGCCAGGCGGCATGGCGGGGAGAGGAGTGGGGAGCCCGAGAATAGCGGGGAGAGGGGGAATGGCGCGGGGGGACATGGGGCCCGGGAGGGGCGGAGGCGGAGGGGGAGGTGGGCCCGCAGGGAGAGGAGGGATGGGGGTGATGGGACGGGGAGCGCAAATGGGGCGGGGACGAGGGGGAATGGTGGGGGGAAGGAGAGGTGTGGAAGAGGAGGAAGAAGAGGAAGAAGAAGAGGAGGAGGAAGAAGAAGAGGAGGAAGAAGAGGAGGAAGAGGAGGAAGAGGAGGAGGAAGAGGAGGAGGAGAGAGTAGGGAACGGTCAGGAGTATCGGAGGAGAGTGGTGGTGAACAGTGTTCCAATCCCGGATCGCCAGGTGGCAGAAGCTGAGAGGCTGGCTGGCCCCATCAATCCGGGCACCTACTGGTATGTTGACTGAATCAAGTCTGCAACATGCATCTAGATGTCATAGTTGTGTAAAGTGTGTCACCCTGTTTGTGTAACACTCAATTACTGTGTCACTTGGTGAGTGTCACTTAATTAGTGCGTCACCTTAACAGTGAGAAGATTGTTGAGTCGCTTCAGCCTCTTATCAATTCACTCGTCCTCTCCTCCTTTCCTTTCCCTCTCCTCCTCTTCCGCTCCTCTCATCTTTGCAGGTACGACGTGGATGCTGGCTTCTGGGGAGTGGTGGGTGGACCATGCCTCGGCATCATCCCTGTGAGTACTTTCCCCATGCCCCACGCCCAATGCCCCATGCCCCATGCCCCATGCCCCATGCCCCATGCCCCATGCCCCATGCCCCATGCCCCATGCCCCACGCCCCATCCCCCACGCGCCACGACCCATGCCCTGTGCCCCACACCCCATGCCCCACGCGCCACGGCCCATGCCCTGTGCCCCACATCCCATGTCCCATGCCCCACACCCCATGCCCCACACGCCATGCCCCATGCCCCACACCCCATGCCCCACACGCCATGCCCCATGCCCCACACCCCATGCCCCACACGCCATGCCCCATGCCCCACACCCCATGCCCCACACGCCATGCCCCATGCCCCACACGCCATGCCCCACACGCCATGCCCCACACGTCATGCCCCATGCCCCACACCCCATTCCCGGCAGCGGCAGGCGTCAGGGGGGCGCACACGAGTGGTGGTGAACGGCAGAGAGCTGCACCGGCGAGACCTGGACATCCTCATGCGGCGAGGAGGGCTCTGCCTCTGTCTGATCCCCTTCTCCCTCTCTCTGTCTCCGTCCTGCCCCTCATCCTCTTGTTCTTTCACCATTTCCCGCCCCCCCCCCCTTTCCCAACCCCAGGCGGGCATACACCAGCTGGCCGTGGGACCATTGCAGCGACAAGCTTCAGGGGGGCGCACGCGCGTGGTGGTGAATGGCAGAGAGCTGCACCGGCGGGATCTGAACATCCTCATGCAGCGCGGAGGGCTCTCACCCTTCTTCCCTTTCTCTCTCTCCCTCTGTCTCCGTCCTGCCCCTCATCCTCTCGTTCTTTCGCCATTCCTCCCCCACCCCCCCCCTCTTCCTAATCCCAGGCGGGCATTCACCAACTCGCAGTGGGGCCGCTACAGCGGCAGGCATCAGGGGGGCGCACGCGCGTGGTGGTTAACGGCAGGGAGCTGCACCGGCGGGATCTAGACGTCCCCCTTTCCTCGCCCTTTCCCCATTCTCCCTCCCCCCATTCTATCTCTCCCCATTCCCTATCCCCCAGGCGGGCATACACCAACTCGCGGTGGGACCACTGCAAAGGCAGGCATCAGGGGGGCGCACACGAGTGGTGGTGAACGGTAGGGAGCTGCACCGGCGGGATCTGGACATCCTCATGCAGCGCGGGCTGGCAGATGAGCCGGGGGTGGCATACCTGCTGGACATTGACGGGAATTTGGTAGACGCTGCTACTGGGGAGGACCTGCCGCCTGGCCTTGGGAAACTTGCCCCCTCGTGAGTTCTCCAGGGTTTTGGGCTGGGGGGTGGGTCTGAGAGGGATCTGGACATCCTCATGCAGCGCGGGCTGGCAGACGAGCCGGGGGTGGCGTACCTGCTGGATATTGACGGGAACCTTGTTGATGCTGCCACTGGGGAAGATCTACCTCCTGGGCTTGGGAAGCTGGCTCCCTCGTGAGTTCCTTAGGGTTCTGGGCACAGGTGGGGTGGGGTTTTAGGCAGGGGTGAAAGAGAGTGTGAGAGGGATCTGGACATCCCCATGCAGCGCGGGCTGGCGGACGAGCCGGGGGTGGCGTACCTGCTGGACATTGATGGCAATTTGGTTGACGCTGCTGCAGGGAGGACCTCCGCCTGGGCTTGGGAAGCTTGCTCCGTCATGAGTTTTGTAGGATTGGTGTGGGAGGAGTGCCTGTGTAGATCTCTCTTCGTCTCTCGCCCGTTCTCTTGCTCTCTCTCCCCCTCTCTCTCTCTCTCTCTCCATCTCTCCCTCTCTCCCCCTCTCTCTCCTTCTCTCCTTCTCTGTCGCACCTCCATATGCCGCTCTCATGCGCCTCTCCATCTCTCCCTCTCTCCCCTCTCTCCCCCCCACTTTCATTCAGGCTGGAGGTCAAGGGGAGAGGGGCGGGCATGTATGTCCCCAAGTGAGAGGAGGGGCGGGCTTGTGTGTCTCTTAGTGACAGGAAGGGGCGGGCATGTATGTCCCTTGGTGAAAAGAGGAACGGGCATCTATGTCTCCAAGTGAGAGGAGGGGACGAGCATGTACCGTATGCCCCCTAATGAGAGGAGGGGCGGGCATGTACCTGTCGAAAGTTAAACGAGGATATGTTTTGACAAGTTTAGGGTATAGGTTTGGTATGTTAAAGCCCGAGTGTAGAATGGTGAAATTTCATAATTACTGAACTTGAAATTAGGTTTGCGAATTTTTACGAGTGCTGAATTCGCCTAACTAGGGTGGCGAAAGGTGACGAGCGCAGAATGTACCGAGCGAGCTGTTTCAGCACCTTCTAGTTCAAGATTCTTGAACTAGCCACAAATGACAAAAGGGCCACAGGACGAGAGGGTTTGACGCGCCACACTTCTGGCTTGGGGACGGGAGCGACGGAAGCGACGTGAGGGACGGGAGCGACGGAAGCGACGAGAGGGACGGAAGGATTGGAAGCAACGGGGGGGACGGGAGGGACGGAAGCGACGCGGAGGACGGGAGGGATTGCGGGAGGACGGAAGTGACGAGACGGGTGTCAGAATGTTACTATAGTGAGTACAACCCAAACTAGGGTTTCCTATATGTATCCTACCTACTGCTAGTGCAAATCCCTCTTTGTCTGTTTCTCGTTTTCGCCTACTATCTTGACATGGTATCAGAGCAGGTCGACCCTCCTGGGTCGATCCTGTGGGTGGGCCCACCCGATGCTTCCGCTGCTGTTCTGCTTCTCGCGAGCTTCGGGCGCGTGACGTTTTCTGCCTGCCGCGTTTTTAGGGTTTCTACGATTTCTGCTCGCCGCGCGCTCCGAAAGCTCGGCGGTTTTCTGCCCGCTGTGCGCCCCGAGGCGCGCGGCGGTTTCCCACCGTCGAAGCGCCCCCCGTCGCCCGTCGAAGCGCCCCCCCCCCCCCCCCCCCCCCCCCCCCCTCCCCCCCGTCGCCCGTCGAAGCGCCCCCGTCGCCCGTTGAAACGCCTCCATCGCCCGTCGAAGCGCCCCTGGGCCCCGCGCGGGCCGCGCGCGGCCCGTACGACCTGCGCCAGGCCCGCGCGCGGCCCGTACAGCCCGCGCGCGGCCCGTACGGCCTGCGCCAGGCCCGCGCGCGGCCGTACGGGCTGCGCCAGGTCCGCGTATGGCCCGGGCGGCCCGCGCGCGGTTCGTTCGACCTGCGCACGCCGTCCCCCGAGCTGCTGACCGCGCCCCACCCCTGCTGCTGCCCGCGCTCCTGTTTTAGGGTTTGGGGGTGGCGAGTATGGGGGTGATAGGTGTGTGCGCCGTCCCCTGCTCCTCCTCCTCCTCCGGCTCCCACTGCTGCAGCTGCCGCTGAGGGGGGTGGGTGTGTTGGAGCCGTCGGAGTGGTACTAGGGGGGTGGCGTGTGAGCAGTGCTAGAGGTACAGCAGAGGGTGTGTGAAAGGGTTTTGGGACAGCTGGAGGAAGTTGAGTGGAGGCAATCGTCTTGTCGTCCGCAGCGCCTGAAGTCCAGAGAGCCACGACCCCCTGTGGCCTGAGTAGTCCGGGGCTCTATGCCCGGTAGCCACAGTGTGAGCACTCCTGGTAGTCCAGAGAGCCACGACCCCCTGTGGCCTGAGTAGTCCGGGGCTCTGCGCCCGGTAGCCACAGTGTGAGCACTCCTGGGAGCACAGCGAGCCAGCTGCGCCTGTCGCCGTGTAGTCCGGGTTTAGCCTGGTAGCGTCAGTGCTGCGCACTCCTGGTGCCCGTGTGTCTGCAGCTTCAGCCGTCGCCTCCCATCTTCTCGCCCCCACAGTTTTTCCTCCTCCTCACTTGCCCTCTGTGATAGTCTCTAGCTTTGCGTATCATTGTGAACTATTGCTATGCCTGCTTGTTGTGCTGATTATACCCCACTTTGACTATGGGGGTGTGTCAGAATGTTATGTTTGTCTAGCCTGCAGTGGGGTACTCTATAGTGAGTACAACCCAAACTAGGGTTTCCTATATGTATCCTACCTACTGCTAGTGCAAATCCCTCTTTGTCTGTTTCTCGTTTTCGCCTACTATCTTGACAACGGGAGTGACGGGAGCGGCGGGAAGGACGGAAGTGGGAGCTACTGGAGCATCTAGTGATATGGTTTTGCACATACCGCATGCGAGCGATCGGATCAGAAGTGACGTGAGGCATGAGAGTGACCTACACCGTGTGGTCAGACAAAACTATAAGCTTAGTCTTGAGTGATGAGCGTAAACCTCGGCATAATGACGAAAGAATGGGCTATGGAGCCTACTACTACCCGAGTCTAGAACGGTAGCTTGGACTTTCAAGTTTCCGTGAGTGTGAACAGTAGAAGCAGCAGTTGTTTTCTCTGGCGATGGTCGTCACTGTTTTGACAGCGTTGCTGTCGGCCAATCACCACCTTGCGCCTCAATCCCTTCTCCGTGAGTTGCGAGAGAGCAGCATCCCAAATCGGGTTACCTTGTTTTTTTACGAAGTCAAGTTCAAGAATCTTGAACTTGAGTTTTGCCATTCTAGACTCGGGCTTTAACGGTATGCCAGTAGAGTGACTTTTGAGTCGACTCAAAAGTCACAAGTTTAGGGTATAGGTTAGGTATGGTATGTTAACGGTATGCCAGTAGAGAGAAAGCAGGCCATGAGAGATGACGTGGCACGTGTTGCTGCTGCTGTGCTGGCTATGGCAAGCAATCTCTAGTCTGTCCTAAGTTATTTGTAACCCGTGCTTTGGACCAAATGTCATGTCACTCATGTTGCTGCTGTAAACATGTGCTAAGCAAGCAGAGCAGCAGCAGCGAAGCAGATGATGTGTTGCTCCTGCATGCCTTACTCTAAGCCTAATTACCTTTTCAGGCGCCCAATTGCCAGTACCGTAAATTGGTTCCAACCCACCTCGCCAGCCTCTTGGGTATTCATCCATCCACATTCTTTTACGGTATTCTGTTGATCAATGCTGGAGTTTCTGGTGTGATTATGTGCAACTGTGTGTGGTGGCACTGGTTAAGAGGCAAAGTGTGTACGGTATATGAAATCCTTTCACTCATCTGTGGCTATAGAATGCACGTATACTACACATGCCACGGCAATTGTATCACAGTATAGGTTGCCTCTCAGCTTTCCCAAGACAGCAGATGCCCCTCCCTTGCTGTCCCTCGCTTTCTCTCGAGATGCCCCATAAGCAGCCTATTTTTCAATCAACTGTAGAGCTTGCCTCATAAAGGAAGGTAAATGCAACCTGCTGCTCCTGCTGTCCCTCCTCTTGCTGCCTCTGCTGCTGCTACCCCTGACACCACTACTCCCACTGTTTCCGCTGTTCCCACTGCCGATACTGCTGCTGCCAGTGTTGCTGCTGCTACTGCAGCTGCTGCTGTTGCTTGTGAATTCAACCACACACTCCTCCATTCTCCCTTCCTCCGCACCCACCCATACCCCCTCCTCACTCCCTGCCTCACTCCCCTCCACACTGCCCATTCGCACTCTCCCATTCCTCCTCCTATTCTCCCTATTCTCCCTATTCTCCCTATTCATCCCCTTCTTCCCTATCCATATCGGCCCACCTTCCATCCCACTCCCACCCTCTCCCTCCAAGCCACCTCCCTCTATCATCACATTCTGAGATGTCTCAACACCCCTTCCACCCCCCCTTATAATCACTCCTCTCTCACAATACCCTCTAGAAGCATTCTCCTTCCCTATCAACCTCCCACCATACCTCACTCTCCCCATCTCCCCATCAACTCCATCAGTCTGTAATTCCTCTCCTCCAGCCCGCAGCCACCTGACAGCTGCCCGGGAAAAGACCCGACCCAGGCTCCAGTGTTCCTCCTGCCTTCGATTCAGGGCAGCCAGTTTGTCCTCGATACAAGCTGCTTCAATACTGGCGTCATGGTCATCAGCCCCATCAGTGTGGAACGGCTTGGGGTAGAGCACAAGGGGAGAGAGGTCGGATGCAGGATCTGGAGCCGGGGTAGGGTGAGACCCCCTTGCATGGTAATCAGGGAATCTGACGAGGGGAAAGGCAAGGGAAGAGGAGATTGAAGGGGGAAGAAGGAAAAGTTTCATGAAACAGGTGGGTGGCAGGAGCAGAAAGAGCGGGCAAAAGGGGTGGGGTGGCAGGAATAGAAAGAGCGGGCAAAAGGGGTGGGGTGGCAGGAATAGGAATATGGGGCGAAAGTGGTTCGAAACGGTGTGGTGAGCTGCAACTGGATGCTCGTGCGGTCGAGCACGGTGGAGCGCGGTGGAGCATTTCGAAATCCAAAGCACCACGCTCTGAATGACTTTTGAGGCGCCGCAAAAGGCATGCAGGATGGATGGATTGTCTCACAGCGGTGCTGCCATGGCGCCGCGATGGAGAATTCCATGAAACACCATGTGGCCGCCGTAAGGTGTTGAAGTGCGATCCACTTGATCATCATGTTCTTCCCGTTGACCGCTATAGCAGACACCTTCATCACTATAACAGGCACCATCATCACCATCATCACCATCATTTACAGCATCCCCAACATCACCACCACCAGCATTAACACCCCCATCATTCCAACCTTCGCTACCATCACCAGCATCAGCATGGTATAGAGGGCTATAGCCAAGGGGACAGCATAGCTCCTCCTCCTCATCATCATTAGTGCTGCTCCCTTGTGACAGGCCAGCATCCTCCTGAAACCACTCCCTCTCACTCCTCCCAGCACCATCCCACTCCTTTGCACCGCAGTCAACCCCATCCCACTCCCTTCCTTCCCACGCTTCCCCTACCCACTCCCTCGCACACGCCGCTGTACCATCATCACATGCATAAGCCTCTGCATCCCCACCATACTCCTCTGCACCCCTCACCACCACTCCACACTCCAACCCCCCACTTCTCCCTCCTCTCCCTGCCCATTCCCCTAGTTTCCCCTCTCCCTCCCCCCTCCCATCACTCTCCCTCTCACTTAATGTTTCCCACCTCCTTCCTCTCTCCCTGTCTCTCAGTGTCTCCCCACACCCTCCTCTCTCTCCCTCTTTCAGTGTCCGCACAAAAACTTCCCATTCCCTCTCATACAACCACTCCTCCTCCTCCTCTCCCTCTCCCTCCACCTCCCCCACTCCCCCTCTCCACCTCTCTTCTCCTCCCTCGCTATAGTCACCATCAGCGCTTCTATAGCCCCCATGATAACCATACTGACTAAAATTGCTGTATCCCCCATTATAGACATATTCGCCATAATCACAGGGAGGCACTGTCAGGCTGGAAAGGAATTGCTCTTCCACTGCTGCTGCTGCTTCCTCTGCCTCTTCTGCCTCTTCCTCAAAACGGTTGATGAACCTGCTTCGGATGATGGATTGATAGGGACACAGCATATGACACAGGCACATATCCACACAGCATGATAGAAAGGCACACATATATCCGCACCACATGGTGAATGGATGGAGAAACACAAGCCAAGCGGAACAAGGTTTAGGAGCTCGTCAAGGTGAGTCAAGGTGAGTCAAGGTGGTGAGTCACAGATGTTTTCAAAACGTATAAAACAACGCACACAAGCAATGCCACTCACATGGAAATCGGCTCGTCCTCCTCTTCGTCCTCTTCGTCCTCTTCCTCCTCCGTCTCCTCTTCCTCATCTCCCTCCTCGTCATCCCCCACACCAAGGCGTAACCCACCCCCATTGAAGCACAAACCACCCCACACGCCTCTCCTCCTCTCTCGGTCCCTCTGCCTCCTCTGTTGCACCCCTTGCCACCGCTGCTTCTCCCCCACCCACTCCTCCTCATCCCCATGCTGCTTCTCCCCCACCCACCCCTCGTTTGCTTCCTCCTTTTCGTTCATTCCCACATCCTTTCTCTCCTCCTCCTCGTGCGCAAACCATCCCTTCTCCCCCACATCTCGCGCCTCGCCCTCCCCTTGTACCATCCACCCCTCCTCTCCCTGCCCAACCCCTTCTCCCATTTCGTTACCAAAACTTTCAACACGATACCTTTCCCCTCCCCCCACCCTCTCTGCCCCATCTTCCCTTACCCACCGACTCTCTTCCTGCTCTTCCCCATCCCCCTGCCCCTCCCCCCCTTTGTCCGTTTCGTCCCCTTCCAGACTCCTCCCATCCGCCCCCCTCTGCACCTCCTGCTTCTGCTGCTCCCACTCCTTCCTCCCGCCACTCCGTTCCCTTCCTCCCCTCTTCCAGCCCCTCCCCTTCGCCATAATCACAGCAGCCCCGCCTATAACCACAGCAGCAGCACCCACGGCAGCCAGAACCTTCCACCACATCCACCCCCGCGCCTTCTCCCTCCGCGCTTCTCCTCTCTCACACCCTTCCGCCTCACAAGACCCGTCACATGTCTTCAACCCACCAGTCTCACTTGACCCATCACCCACCGTACACCCAGCATCAGTCTCGCTCAACCCATCACCCGAATCACACCCGCCAGTCTCACGCACCCCACTGCCTTGCTGCAATCCCTCTGCCTCCCACGCTGACCCGTCGCCCTCTTTCGATCCACCCTCCTGCTGCCATGACCTAATCCCCGGCTTTCCCCCACCACTCTGTAGCAACCCTTCTCCCATGTCTTGTTCGCCATGCTCCACCTCACCTGCTGACTTCCACAGCACATTAGAACGCACCTCGAAATTCTGCTGCTTCCCCCCACCTCCCTGTAGCAACCCCTCTCCAATGCCTTGTTCACCTTGCCCCACCTCGCCTGCTAACTTAAGCAGCACATCAACACCTGACTCGGAGACATGCTTCTTCCCTCTACCCCCCTGCCGCCATGACCCATCACCCAGCTGCTTCTCTCCACCCCCTATCCCTAGCATAACAGTCCCGTCCCTACTTCTCTCTTTCTCATGCTTCTCACCTCTCTTGAATGACTCACAAACAACTGACTCTACCTCCTCTTCCTCCTCCTCCTCCTCCTCCTCCTCCTTCTCCTCCTCCTCCTCCTCCTCCTCCTCCTCCTCACTCTCCTCCCCCTCCTCTCCTTCTTCCTCACTCTCCTCACCATTCTCCCCTTCACCCCCCTCCTCAACCTCCTCCTCTCTTCTTTCCATCCCATCACCCTCATCTCGCCCATCCTCCCCTTCCTCAAACTCCCCTCCACCAGTAAATCCCCCAGAGATGCAAACAGGAAGGCAAATGCCACTCATATATCCCCTACCTTTCCCCCATGCGCCCCCTTCCCTCCCCTCGCTCTTCTCCCCACTCTCACTCCCATGCTCCTTCAATTCTCCACCCTCCACCTCTCCCCCTCCCACCTCCTCCTCTCCCAATCCCTCTCCTCCGTTCCCAGTACCACCCTCGCTCCCTCCCATGCTACCATCCACAAAAAATTCTGTGGGTAAACCACCCATGCCTGTGACTCCATTGCTTCCCTCCACACCCAATTTCGTGGGCAAAACACCCGTTCCTGTACTTCCATTGTTACCACCCTTGCACAATTCCGTGGGTAAATCACCCATGCCTGTGCCTCTGCCAGCACTACTATCTGCCTCCCACAGGAACTTCAGGCAGCGAGCATTCTGTCTGGTTGGCTCTGCTTGTCGTTTCTCAGGTGCTTCAGGTGTGCGAGCCCACCAATCAGGCGCGTCCTGCTCAAGATCAGGTGGTAACCGGGTACCCTCTAATTCCACGCTCCCCTTTCCACCAGTTCGCTCACAGCTTTTCATCGAGTCACTTGGCTGATCAATTCGCCCAACATTTCGCCCATAATTTCGCTTGTCATTCGGTTGATCAGTTCGCTGATAACCTGGCTGAGAACTGAGTAGAATCACCCGCAAATCCTCCTCCTCACCCTCGCCTGATTCCTCTGGAATCGTGTCAAGGAGACAGCAGGGTGTCGGCCCCAACCCTCCCCCCGCCATTGCTGCCACTGCTGCTGCTGCTGCTGCTGCCGCCGATGATGCTGGTGGTGGTGCTGGCGTTGCTGCTGCTGGTAACCCTGCTGCTGCTAGTAAACCTGGTGCTGCTGGTAACCCTGCTGCTGCTAGTAAACCTGGTGCTGCTGGTGCCACTGCTTCTCCCACCAAACACGGTGACTCCAAGGTCAATCACCGGCACTATCCATATCTTCCTCTTGAATGGATGTAGGAAGAGACACTATCTCACGCGCGAACGTGACAGTGTCGAGTGTAATATTTACACCATGTGTGATACTATCTTATCGGGAATCCTTTTTGTTAAATCTTTTTTCATAGGGCCTAGCCAGCCTGAGGGAATCTTAATGTGTCTGCTCGTCACGAGCAGGACATAAGCTGAAATGTTCAGTGAGTAGTGCGAGCGTTTCAAGGGCCACTGCTAATTCACACATTGCCAGACTGTCTAACGAAATTCGCGGCTGCCAATCCACTTCTAATTGATGACGAATTAACAGTCGAAACCCAAGGCGGCACGACCTAGTTCTGAGACGTCTCAAATCTCGGAAACTAAGGCAGCATAACCGAGTCGTGAGACGTCTCAACCTTCGGCGTCCGCAGTGGCATAGCCGTTGACTAGTAGGTGCTCCTGCATTATGGGAGGAGGGCATGAGAGGGAATTTTAAATGCGCGTGTCGCGGAGTGCCGCGATGGCTCGTCGCGCGTGATGGGACCCCTAGTACCTCCGTGTGCTTGAGAAGATGAAGCATTGTGGGTGTGGCGAGCTATTGAGTTGTTGCAATGGGTGCAATGGGGGTCAGAGTGTTTCTCTAAAGAAAATTTTCCGCCGTACAATCGATTTTCTGGTCACTCTCCCGCCACGCCTTCGAATACGACTAATTCTCCTCCGTCGCGCGAACGGGCGTCGCGGTCGCGCCAGGAGAGAAAGTGACGACGGATGGATGGCTGGAGCGCTCATCACGGAGGGAATGCTAAAAGACATCGCTGACAACATCGCATCAAGAGGAACAAATCTGGTGAGGAGAATAATTACGAATGATGTGTATTTGAGACCCATCAATCCCTCGACTTTCTTTTCGTGATGGGGTGGGATGGGAGTGATGGGAGTGATGGGAGAGAAAATATTCATGGCGGAGAAACACTTTCGCAAAAAAACCTGCTCAACCGTTTTGCGATAAAAAGTAAACCAATGAAACGTAGCGAATCTTACTCAACCGCATCAAAGTTTGGCTTTTTGTGACGCGTTCTGAACCGCATCGAACTGTACCTACAAACAACGAGTATATAAAACCTACAAATGACCCAAAGCTGCACTTCGCGATTTTATCACAGCACAGGTGTAGCACAACAAATCAACGATTAAAACAAGGGAGGAGCTAATATATATCAGCATAATGGTCCAAGTACCTTAGGATTGAACTAAACAAAGGCTAGGCATCTGGAGGACATGTAGTCCAGCAGAGCATCTGGGCGCAACGCTCTAATAGCTTCCTCACTAAGCTCTTCAGGCGATTCCCTACAGCACACGCAACCACCACCACCAGCAAGAGCATTTGAAGCCACATCAGTAGTTATCAGCTCCTTATACTCCTCTCTCTGCACCTCACAGCATGCGGAGTATGCAGACATAGCATCATCGCAGGAGTCATCATCTTCCTCTGCACTATCACTCACACTCTCCCCGTTACACCGACCATCAGCACCACACACAGCATCCCTTTCTTGATCCGCCGTCAGGGGGGGTAACGGTAACCCATGACTGGTTACCAAGCTATCCGCCCCCTGCTGCCCAAGATAACCCAGAGCCCCAGCAAACTGAACTTGATGATTTTTCTCGCCATCAGCACCACCACCATCGGACGCCACGTCAGCCCCCTGCTTCCGCCACTTCCGCGTTCCCTCCTTGTCCACCCAACCAACCCTAGCAGCCTTTCCGCCCACTCGTTTCTGCTTTCCGCTGCTCCCCTTGCGCGCCAGCGCCGCCTTTTCTGTGGCGGAGGTGGGGGAGTCGCAGTCACCGAAGTTGCTTCCGCTCTCACTCCGCGCAGGCGCAGGCGGAGATCTCATCATCCCCCGGACGTTTCTTCCCCCGGCGTTCCCCCGACACGCTTCCTGCCCGCAATCGCATTCGCGGAACTCAGAAAACCCGGCACCGCGGGCAGCCGCGCCGGCGGCATAGCGGGTGTCGACGGCGGCAGCGGCGGCTTCCCCCTGCGAGCACGACGGGTTAGAAAACGTTCGTGCACCAGGGATGTAGGGCAAGGGTGCAGGATTATCGTGCTCCACGGTCCAATCGCTTATGTCTCGCGAGCTGATCGTGCCCGACTCGGAACCGAACCGCACCACCACCGCCGTGCCGCCCCCGCGCATGATTCGCACATCGACTCGAGGCTCCGGCTCGTCTCGCGCTATTTCCGCCGTAAATCCCGCGTGCGACGGATTCTGGTGACGCAGCTGCGCCTCCAGCGGGTGTATCCGCTGATCTATCGCCGCGATGGGCGCGCAACGGTCAATGGGTACGCAATTGTCGGCGGACACGCAACGGGAGACAGGCGCGCAATGGTCGATGAACGCGCGACGGTCGATGGGAGCACAGCAGTCGACAGACGCGCTACGGTCGATGGGCGCGGAACGGCTTACGGGCGCGCAGATGGAACTCCCCCCCGCACGCCAAGGCGGGGATTGGCGGAGACTAGCTCGCTGAAGCACGGGGACGGTCGGGGACGACGCAGCTTGCGTCGTGGGGGGGAATATCGATGCGGAACGGCGCGGAGTGGCGGGTGGAAAAGGTTTTCCGGCTTCCGCGGCGGCACTTGCCCCAGAAACTCTAACCTTACCATTTAAAGCTTTCCTCTTGAAAAACTCGTCATCGGGCTTCATTGTCTTATCTTATCAACGTTTCTGCGCTGAGCAACCACTTCCAAAATGTGGTTCGGATATTCTGCCGCGTCTCGTCGCGCGATTTGGCAGCGGAGGCGGCGTCTACGGGGGCGCCTTTCGAAGTCGGGGGCACGGGGCTGAGGAATTTGCCACTACTAGTAGTACGCGCATACGATGGTGGAAAGCGGGAAAGGCCTGTGATTGCGCGACAAAGGGAAAATTATTGAGTGCCGATTGTGCGCGCCTCGACGAGAGCCTCAGGAAATGGGAATGGAATGGAAGGCGCCAAGCTGCGATCCCCGCGGCTATGACGACTGCTTTGAGAGCCTGGGGAGGAAATGCTTGCGCGCGTATGAAGGGCTCGACACGACACGTTATGACGGCTCTCTAATGACGCGGAGATTAATCTTCAGCTGCCTCCAGCCATCAGCGACCAACAGTAGCAGCACCATAACAAAGCAGCAATTTGAACACGTCGCAAGCAACAACCAAGCGCTGTGATTGGGGTTTCCTGGGCCATACGTCTCTCGTACGCTCTTCGTGGTGTGGTTCGTTGCGACGCGGTGCAAACCGAAAATAATTTATGAACCGCTCTCCACCGTATATACTCGTACAAAACACGAAAAATGAACAGTGAATGTACGACTTGGACATCCCCTCCGTGATTATTTTCCGACCGAGATGAGATTGTGTGCGAGCCGGGATGGGACCTGTATCTTTTCGGAAAGGAAAGAAGCGAAAGTGCTCGAGTCGCTTGGCATTGCATTGATTGGGCAGGACGGGCCTCACCAATTTCTGAACGCAGTTGCCTTGGCGGGAAAATGGGATGGTCTGGTTTGTTTGTGGGCTTGTCCCCCCTCTTCCGTAGCTTGAGCATGAGGGGGACCAGATGATCACAATGCAAGGAAATGTGTGGAAGGAGCCCCACAATGCGGTGTAGAAATGCTTGACGTCAAGCGGGTGGTGCTTCCAACCAAAATTATCTTACGTGGGAAGAAAATCTCTTCATTAGGTCGGTTGTTCGTGTGCTGTAGAGCAAAACAAGGAACTGTTTGAACAGCTGTCGCGCAAGGACGGGTTTTGATCACGCTCGAGCAGGACCCACGTCAGAACGCGAGGTAGTGGACGTGGAAGGGCGGAATTTACAGGATTCACTGTGGCGCGCGACGTTGGATCTGCCTTGGGGATACAGTAACAAAATCAGCGGGGATAACGAAATGTTGGTGTGGCTGGTCGTGTATGGTTGGAAGATTTGTTGATTTGGTTTGGTTTGGTTTGGTTTGGTTTGGTTTGGTTAGGGACGCTGAAGCAACTGAAGGCTTGGGCAGTTGAAGGGGTAGTGGAGGTTTGTGTAGCCTTGGAGACAACGATAAGCTGCGGTGAAGACGGTTTTGTTTAAAATTCATGGAGAGGCTAAAACGACGTGCTTCAACGCAGCAGTCGATGGTACTGCAGAGGCCCAAAACTTGGTGGGGGTGTGAGAAAGTATGAGGTGGAGGGAGAGGGGACTTGTTCCGGGGAAATAATCGATGGTCCATTCCAACTGTACTGTACAGACCGAAAAAGTGGGGGGATGCGGGGACAAATGAAACCACATCTCCTTACTATTCAGAAACTCCCAAATTTGCTTGTGGACAAAGTTGGCAGCTTCTCACCCGCGTGCTGAGGCGGGGACCAAATGATTGTTTTTAATAAACTAGTAAATGCGTCATTTTGCTCTGATTTCAATAGAGGATATGTTGACATAACCTCTATTGCACTGAAGCAGTTCCAGGACTTTCAGATTACTTCTCCACACCACCTCATCCTCGCCACCCATTATCAAATCCTCCACATAGGGTGTTCGCCAAAATATCCCCATGGATGAAAACTGTGAAGCTGGAAATCTTTGTCAAGCCTTGATGTTTGGTATTTATAGGGTAAACTCTGGTCCCTGCTTCAAAATCGCCGCGATTGACTGAAGCCCAGCAACTTCGAAACGAAACTTAGGGGTACAGTACCAGCTTACGAGTCCGTTCAGGGGTACCATTCCCAGTACAGCTGGCGGCGTTTAAGAACGTTCGCACCACCACAACCTTCCGATGGAACCTATTGCCATTGACCCCCGTACTGCTGTTGCTGGCTGAAAAGGGTTGCATTTTTGCACACAATCAATTCTGCCACACCGAGAGCAATGCTGCTCCATGCAGTTATAATCCCGCACCACAAGTGTTTGGGGTACATGCTGCCCCGATTGGTTCCCGTTGTCCACAACACCCCGTATGAAGTTGCTACAGTACACTGTTTTTGGCTAGAGGGGCCGACGCGACTCGACGCGTCAGCCGGTCGTTGAGGTGACCCTGTAGTCAAATCAACGACTCCCAGCGATAAAAACACGCAGCACCGCCTTCAACCATTCCGACCATCTGAGGGAGGTTCTTCTGCAACTGGAGGTTCTGTTACAGAGAAGTGCATTGGCTGTGCACACAATTTCTTTAAAAGCTGATGACAATAAATCAGGGCTCATAGATGCAGTACTGGTTCCTTAACATCTCATCCGGTATTACACTCAGCCTCACCTATTGTCCAAGCACATGACATATTTCAGGACCTCTGCAGTGAGCCGTAATACTCCTGGTTCTTGGCACATTCTCCCTGGGTCTTCCAGTACACAGTGCTGCGCTTTATCCCTTCACAACCCACCCCCTACCTAAGGGGCTGCCACAGCCGGAGCCCCGGAAGGGGTGACGCTCGCATGCCTAAATGGTGATCACCCCAACCACCAAACCTCACGACGAGCATACACCACACACACGACTTGGGACAGTTAGCATGCACGTGGTTCTTGTCACTCTCGCCCTGCGTCTTCCAGTACACAATACATAGTGCTGCTACTTGTCCTCACACAACTGGAGCCCCAGGGGTGTAGCTCACACCCGTAAATGCTATACATGCATGAGATGAGACAGGCACGCCGCAGCTAACCTGACCTCAAACCGAGCATACACCACATGACTCGGGACAGTTAGCATGTATGTACTCCTGGTTCTTGTCACACTCGCCCTGCGCCTTCCAGTACACACAGTGCTGCGCCTTGTCCTCACACCACCCATCCACGGGCGGCGCTACAGCCGGAGCCCCCGAGGGGGTGTAGAACACACCCACGGCTAAAAGGAAGTCACACATAATACAGTCACGGCGCACCACCTAACCTCACGACGAGCATACACCACACGACTTGGGACAATTAGCATGCATGTACTCCTGGTTCTTGTCACACTCGCCCTGGGTCTTCCAGTACACACAGTGCTGTGCCTTGTCCTCACACGACCCATCCGCGGGCGGTGCTACAGCCGGCGCTCCAGAGGGGGTGTAGAACGCTCCCACGTGGATCCACTTTGTGGCCGACCATTTCTCGCCGGAGATCACCGGGCAGCCCGCGTGAAGGGATGCGAGGTCGAGCTCGGCGGAGGGGGTGAGGGAGAAGAAGAGGAGTGCGTCACCTCTGATTGGCTTGGCTGCCACGCCCTGCTTGCCGCACTCCGACCACGTGTCGTCCTTCTCCACCGTGTCCTGATGTGCAAAACAGGATAGATATACAGAATCGGGACCCGTTTGAGTTGACTCAGCAAGGTCAGCAGTTACTGGAGTCACGCCCTGCTTCCCGCACTCTGACCACGTGTCGTCCTTCTCTACAGTGTGCTGGTGGCGGGTAGATACAGGGAATCGGGACACGTTTTGAGATGAGTCAGCATGTCCAGCAGTTACTGGAGCCAACCTGTGTTCAGCAGCGTCCGCAAAAACAGTCTCGCCCCCCACCATGCCCTCAGTGAGGTACATAAGAACTGTGACGTAGCGGTGCCCCCTGCTTCATTTGCTATTCTTGCAGTACACACCTTAGCATCAGAAAACACAGTCTCGCCCCCCACCATGCCCTCGGTGAGGTACATAAGAACCGTAATGTAGCGGTGGCCGCCCTGCTGCCTCTTGCCCTGCCCCTGCCACCAACATTAAACTTCATACACCTGATTGCACGTACCTTAGCATCTGGGAAGACCGTCTCGCCCCCCATCATGAACACTGTGAGGTACATGAGCACCGTGGCGTAGCGGTGGCCGCCCTGCTGCCCCTGACTTGGTGCCCCTGCCCACCTCTTGTAGTACGCACCTTAGCATCGGGGAACACAGTCTCGCCCCCCACCATGCCCTCAGTGAGGTACATGAGCACAGTGGCGTAGCGGTGGCCCCCCTGCTGGCCTTCCTTCTCGAAGTAGTCATGGTGTGCCTCATACTTCTGCCCCTCCTGGTACCGCAACACCTGCATCGCCTCCTGGTTCTCTGCACAGGAGGGAGAAAACAGAGGTGCGCGGTAGGGTAACCTTCTGAGACCTCTGCACCACGCCGCAGTGCACCACACTACACCGCACCATATCCTTCTCAAAGAAGTCGTGGAATGCCTCGTACTTCTGCCCCTCATGGTACCGCAGCACCTGCATCGCCTCCTGGTTCTCTGCAAGAAAGAAAATGCAAGGAGGAGAGGTGCAGAAATCCTTGTCACACCTCTTCACCGCACTGCACCGCATTCATTCATCCTTCTCAAAGAAGTGTGCCTCGTACTTCTGCCCCTCCTGGTACCGCAGCACGTGCATTGCCTCCTGGTTCTCTGCACGGTAGGGTAGGGAAAGACCACAGGTGCACTAATGAGAATTCCTTTTCACACCTCTGCACTAAAGCATGGCCGGGTTGCAAAGCAGGTGGGGATTGTGCAGTGGGAAGCGCACTTGGGGATAAATATGCTGTGAAGTTGATAACAGAATGTCGCTCACCATCAGGCAGGAAGATTTTGAGTCGACTCAAAAACAAGTTCGGAAAACAACGTCACTCACCAACAGGGAGGAAGGTCCACGCAGCTATGCGCTCCTCAATGCGCTTGATTACGTCATCCTGGTGTGTGCATCCATGCACCCATGCACCCATGCACCCATGCACCCATGCACCCATGCACCCATGCACGCATGCACCCATGCACCCATGCACCCATGCACCCATGCACCCATGCACCCATGCACCCATGCACCCATGCACCCATGCAGCCATGCGTGCATGCATCCATGCACCCATGCATCCATGCACCCATGCATCCATGCACCCATGCATCCATACGGGGAGTGAGACGAAAGATAGGAGCAGGAGAGAAGGAGCAGAGGGGAGAAAAACGGGAATGAAGATTGCGAGTTAAGAGGAGGACAGAAAACACCCAGCAACGTTCAGCCCAGCCCAGCCCAGCCCAGCCCAGCCCAGCCCAGCCCAGCCCAGCCCGGGAGAACGATGCTCTCCCCCCCCCCCCTCCCCTCCCTCCCTCCCCTCCTCCACCCACCTGCTGCCAGTCCAGGAACGTGCCGAAGCTCGTGCGCACGTCATCCACGTTCGAGCCCTCGCCCTCCCGAGCCACCACCTCCGACCGCTCCAGGCGCGGCCGAGCCTGGCGGTGAGGTTTGGGGACACATAAGGGGCACGAGACATGTGAGAGAGAGTCAGGAGGAGCCGCTCTCAGCAGGCAGTGAGGGCAATGATGCGACTACAGTGTGCGTCTCACAGGCGGTGATGTGACTACAGCGAGCATCTCAACAGGGGAATGATGCGACAACAGTGTGCGTCTCACAGGCGGTGATGTGACTACAGCGAGCATCTCAACAGGGGAATGATGTGACTACAGGGTGCGTCTCACAGGAGGTGATGTGACTAAAGCGAACATCTCAACAGGCCGATGATGTGACTACAGCAAGCGTCCCTCTCAGTCTCACCAGAGCAATGATGTGACTATATAAAGAGCCTCTCACCAGGGAGATGATGTGGTTGCACTCCTCTGGCGTCAGAAATTTGTGGTAGAGGAAAGCCCTGATGGTGGCAGCACAAGTAAATGGATGGAGGGATGGGGAGGGTGATGTGAGAAGAATTGATTGCATCGTTCCCTGTGGTGGTAACACAAGTGAACGAGGGATGGGGAAGCTGGAGGGATGGGGAAGCTGGAGGGAGTAGGAGGGATGTGGAGGGTGGATGGAGAGAAGAGAAATTTGGATGCCCCGAAGCCTGCCTTAAAAGGAGGTCGAAGGAAAGGCCCTTATGAGGAAACGAGGGGGGGCGGGATTGAGGAGTATACATCGGCAGCAATGACGGGTTAGTGGGATATTATAGATTCGCTTCGTCATATTGTCTGGGAGCGCCTGACAGGCAACATCTCTTTCCAGACCAGCACAAATTCTTCCCGTACAGGCACAGATTCGAAGTTCGTGGCTTTTAGCAGTTAAAATTCTCAATGACACGTGAACAGAATTTTCTGTTTTTTGTACCTTGGTTTCCACGAGAGCACGGTGACTCGCGGTTCTGTGAGGTTCCCGTCGGCCACTGCAGGATTTATCGCCACTCCAAACCTGGTTGACGGGATATGACAACATAGGGGTAACCGGTTAGACATAACCTGTTAGCAGATCAGATCAATCACCGAAACGCGTGTAGGGAACTTTACAGGATAATCTGGTGTTACTGCTGCTGCTGTCACACGGACTTTTACGAGTCGGATTATCGCTGTGATATGAAAAAACGGCTATACAATTTGACTCTTACTTGTCCGCCTGCCATCCAGGGTATGCCTCAGACTCCTCCTGACATGAGCAAAGACTCGGCCATGCTGCGCAGAAAACGGCGAGAAGCAGCCATACCCGCGTCGCTTCCATTACGAGAATCGAATGAGCGCACTCGAAAAGTTTGCGGGGAGCGTGACTGGGAAAATACACAATGGGAAAAAGGTCGTAGATGCTCGGAGTTTGGGAATGGGGGAAAGTAAAACTTCTGGAAAAAAATGTCGGCTGAATGAATTTAGCAGAAATTGAGAATCAGATAAAGCTGATGAAGTATGCTGGGGGAGTGTTGCTGTTATATCACTATCGTGCGGTTCAGTGAGATGGTGTCGTAATTCAAAGCGTTCCGACAGGGTTCTGAAAGAAAATGGTGTCATGTCATAGCGGCCTCAATGAATGCAGGGCGAAGGAACCTAGCTTCGCGAACACGCTCGGGTCATCTGTAACTCTTCGCATGTCAGTTTCGGAGTTCCCAAGAGTCTCTGCTGTAAGAAAAGCCGTGTTGATTGGTCAAGATGGCTCGCTGTGCCTAGATCAAGCAAATGAGAAGCGAGCTGGCGATGTCGTCAGAATCTTTACGAAAAGCTGAAAAAGTTACAGAGAAAGTACACCCGCTCGAACCTTGCAGTTTCTGATCCCAGATTTTCACACAAGGTTTGTTTTTCCAAGCGAAATCGCACCGCTCTGTCACGTTAACCGTCGTACTCAACCAATTGGCATGCCCTCCGACCATTATTAGTTCAGCTGCACTGATGCTTGGCTCAAGTCATACCACATCTGTTCACTTTTAGGGAAATTTCAATGGCTGCGGTTTCTTGTTCCTAGTTTCCTAGTCGCAATCAACACTGGTTCAAATTCATGTCAACCGTTTAGGTAGTCGCTCCTTGTCTCGTCTGATCTCACGTTATTATCGGATCAATAATTCCGTCGAGACTTTCACAAATATTCCTTCTGATCGAGCGCCTACGAAATTATTCCAAAATGCGGAAGAGACATCATGTACTCGAATTTCTTGTTCCATTCTTCCTCGCGGCTGCTTCCTCGTTGGCATTATCAACCGAAGAAACGCAAAAAGTGTAAACACTTCGCGGTTTTCGCCGGTTAGGGTTTCCCCTATGCTGACATGTTGCTGACATGTTAATCCAACATTAGTTCAGGTTTCTGGCCACCTCTCTGGACGAATTCTTGATTTGATTCTTGGAGAGGATATCAGCACAATGTTTGATCTTAGTCTCTGTCGCCATTTCACAATGAATGTGAACACGTGTCCCGGTCCCTGCGATTTATACTTGTAACACGTGTCACGTGTCCTTGCGATTCATACTTGTAACACGTGTCACGTGTCCTCGCGATTCATACTCATAACACTTTTCAAGTGTCCTTCCAACCCATCCGTGTAACACGTGTTATCCCCTGCAGCACATTGTCAGCGGCAGGTCAGAACATCCCGCCAGATTACACTCCGGATCCCTCTAGAATCAAGCAGCTCGCATGGAAGCCCAGGCAAGTCACAGAGGCGTTAACGGGGATGCGGGGGATGTGGGGGATGCTGCGTGGATGCGGGGATGGAATGGGGGGAGGGCTGCGGGGATGGATGGGGGAAAGGGCTGGGGGAATGGATTGGGGGACGTCCTGGGGGGGTGGATGGGGAAAAGGGCTGGGGGGATGGATGGGGGGGAGGTCTGGGGGAAAAGACTGGGAGGATGGATCGGGGGGGTGGATGCGAAGGACGGTTTGGTCCCGAGCAGCTTTCGCATTCCCTTCGAACCCCTATCACCTGTCAACACTGCCTTTCTGATTCGGTGTGCAATCTGTAAAGGGTTTTCTACCTTTCCTCTTTCTTGCCTTCAACATCGTTCTTGAGTCTCACTTGTAGTCATCTTGCTTTCCATCTCCCCACATCAGTCCCTTCCACGTCGTTCTCACTTTACCCCCTTCACACCCCTCTCCACCTCCCCAACCCTCTCGTTATACTCCTGCTCTCTTTCCCCCACTCTTCCTCCGCCCCCCTCCCTCTTCTGACCCTCATTCATTGTGTTCCTCATTCATTGCCTTCCTCATTCATCGTGTTCGTTCCTCCCTCTGCAGGGCTTTCCTCTATCCCAATTTCCTCTCTGCTGCGGAGTGTGATTACATCGTCAACATGGTATGCCATCACATCCCACCACTTCCTCTTGGCCCACCTTACTTTCTTTTCCCCCTGCTCCCCGTTCTGTGAACATTGTTGTTTTAAACCCCCCTTCCCCCCCCCCCACTACACTGATTCATTTCCATCTCCCCCTCCTCACCTTCACCACCTTTTTCTCCCCATCTGAAGAGATTCTGAATTGCGCCGTGCTTGTAGTTGCACTTCCCTAAACCCAATTTCTGCTTTGTGTCGGCCCATTTGAAACCGCAAAGCACTGCACTCTATCCCTTTGTGACGTCCGTCCCTGGATGGATGGTGTCGTCGCCTATCGCTTCTCTGGCTTCATCTCAGCCACGTGAGTTTGATTTGGTGTTGAGAAGCTTCAAAACCAATCAATCATCACGTAACACCGCACTCCATCCCTCTGTGACGTCCGTCCCTGGATGGACGGTGTCATCGCCTATCGCTTCTGAGTTCAGCACTTTGAACACGCCCTTATCGTTTGGCCCATGATGGTAGTGAGTTGAGGAAATGCATCAATCAGTGACACCGCTTCCTGCTTCTCTCCCCCGCTCCCTTTTCGCCCCCTGTCCCTTTCCCTTGCGCCCCCTGTCCCCTCCCCTTGCGCCCCCTGTCCCCTCCCCTTGCGCCCCCTGTCCCCTCCCCTTGGCCCCCCTGTCCCTGCGCTTTGGGCCCCCTGTCTCCTTCCGTTGTTCTCTGTTTCTCTCTCGCTGCAGTCGCGCCCGCTAATGGAGCGGTCGACAGTGGTGGGGCAGGGCGGAAAGAGCGTGGTCGACCACATCCGGACCAGCAACGGGTGCTTCATTGATAAGTACAAGGACCCGGTCATCAAGAGCATAGAGGAGCGCATTGGCGACTGGACCTTCCTGCCCCTTGGTACGCTCCCTCCCTCCATGCCTCTTGGTACATACGTGGTGACTTGTTTGAGTCGACTCAACAGTCACATCCGGACCAGCAACGGCTGCTTCATTGATAAGTACAAGGACCCGGTCATCAAGCGCATAGAGGAGCGCATTGGCGACTGGACCTTCCTGCCCCTTGGTACGCTCCCTCCCTCCATGCCTCTTGGTACATACGTGGTGACTTGTTTGAGTCGACTCAACAGTCACATCCGGACCAGCAACGGCTGCTTCATTGATAAGTACAAGGACCCGGTCATCAAGCGCATAGAGGAGCGCATTGGCGACTGGACCTTCCTGCCCCTTGGTACGCTCCCTCCCTCCATGCCTCTTGGTACATACGTGGTGACTTGTTTGAGTCGACTCAACAGTCACATCCGGACCAGCAACGGCTGCTTCATTGATAAGTACAAGGACCCGGTCATCAAGCGCATAGAGGAGTGCATTGGCGACTGGACCTTCCTGCCCCTTGGTACGCTCCCTCCCTCCATGCCTCTTGGTACATACGTGGTGACTTGTTTGAGTCGACTCAACAGTCACATCCGGACCAGCAACGGCTGCTTCATTGATAAGTACAAGGACCCGGTCGTCAAGCGCATAGAGGAGCGCATTGGCGACTGGACCTTCCTGCCCCTTGGTACGCTCCCTCCCTCCATGCCTCTTGGTACATACGTGGTGACTTGTTTGAGTCGACTCAACAGTCACATCCGGACCAGCAACGGCTGCTTCATTGATAAGTACAAGGACCCGGTCATCAAGCGCATAGAGGAGCGCATTGGCGACTGGACCTTCCTGCCCCTTGGTACGCTCCCTCCCTCCATGCCTCTTGGTACATACGTGGTGACTTGTTTGAGTCGACTCAACAGACACATCCGGACCAGCAACGGCTGCTTCATTGATAAGTGGACCCGGTCATCAAGCGCATAGAGGAGCGCATTGGCGACTGGACCTTCCTGCCCCTTGGTACGCTCCCTCCCTCCATGCCTCTTGGTACATACGTGGTGACTTGTTTGAGTCGACTCAACAGTCACATCCGGACCAGCAACGGCTGCTTCATTGATAAGTACAAGGACCCGGTCATCAAGCGCATAGAGGAGCGCATTGGCGACTGGACCTTCCTGCCCCTTGGTACGCTCCCTCCCTCCATGCCTCTTGGTACATACGTGGTGACTTGTTTGAGTCGACTCAACAGTCACATCCGGACCAGCAACGGCTGCTTCATTGATAAGTACAAGGACCCGGTCATCAAGCTCATAGAGGAGCGCATTGGCGACTGGACCTTCCTGCCCCTCGGTAAGGCCCTCCCTAGACGACCTTGTCTCTCACTCTCCCTCCCATGCCGTCACCTGTCTCCCCCGCTCCACCATCACCACAAGGACCCGGTCATCAAGCGCATAGAGGAGCGCATTGGCGACTGGACCTTCCTGCCCCTTGGTACGTGCGTGGTGCCTTGTTTGAGTCGACTCAACAGTCTCATCCGACCGGACCAGCAACGGGTGCTTCATTGATAAGTACAAGGACCCGGTCATCAAGGGCATAAAGGAGCGCATTGGCGACTGGACCTTCCTGCCCCTCGGTACGTTCCCTACCCCCACGCCCCTGGCTCTCCGGTGTGGCACAGGCATGGGCATGGGCATGGGTATGGGCATGAGCATGGGGATGGGCGCGGGCATGGGCATGGGCTTGGGTCATGGGCATGGGCATGGGGATGGGTATGGGCATGGGTATGGGCATGGGTCATGTGCATGGGGCATGGGCATGGGGATGGGGATGGGGATGGGCATGGGCATGAGCATGGGCATGGGCATGGGCATGGGCATGGGCATGGGCATGGGTATGGGCATGGGTATGGCCGCTTTCATGTGCCTCTCACTCTCTCTCTCATGCCCAGCTTTCTCACACCCATCTTTCTCTCTCCCTTACAGGTTCTGTTGCTGTGGTCTCTCTCCCCTCCTCCCCTCCTCCTCTCCACTTCCCCTCTTAAACTCGTCGCTCAACCGCTTTGCTCGATGTCAATCCCTTCTTTTTCTCGCTCTCGCTCATTCCCGATGCGGCCAGCCAACCAGGAGGCGATGCAGGTGCTGCAGTATCAGTACGGGCAGAAGTACGGAGCGCACTGGGACTACTACGATGATAAGAATGCACAGCCAGGCGGCCCCCGCTACGCCACTGTGCTCATGTACCTTACTGACGTGGTGAAAGGGGGGGAGACCGTTTTTCCCCAGTCTGAGGTGAGCAATTCACACACTTAGTGGAGCTGCACATACACTCGCCACTGTGCTCATGTACCTACATTGACGTGGTGGAAGGGGAGAGAGATAGTCTTCCCGCAGTCTGAGGTGAGAGATTCGTACAGGCTGTGAAACGGAACGGGATGCACTTTTCTTACTTCCTGGAAGATTCGCCACTGTGCTCATGTATCTCACTGACGTGGTCAAGGGCGAGTAGACGGTTTTTCCCCAGTCTGAGGTTAGTGACCAACGCCGCTGTCAAACGCTGTGAACGGGAATGGAGCGTGTGTAATATGTGGTCTGCTGCTTGATTTGACAATGAGCTCATGTACCTTACTGCCGTGGATAAGAAAAGGGGAAACCATGTTTTCGCAGCGGGGCCGCACAGTGATTTTTTAGTCGACTCAAATATCCCCCACTACCCCTCCTCACTCCCACCTTCCCTCCCCCCCCTCCTGCCTCTTCACCAGGCGGACCCAACTGTGAAGGACGACAGCTGGAGTGACTGTGGCAAGCAGGGAATCGCAGGTGTGCAGAGCGGTGGTGATGGTGTGATGTGCAGAGCGGTGGCGATGTTGTGGTGTGCAGAGCGGTACCGGTGCATGGTTCCATGGTGGCAGGGCAGGAAAGGAGGGGCCAACGCCATGGCAAGTCATGGCATGGCATGGCATGATATGGCAAGTCATGGCATGGCATATGGCATGGTGTGGAAAAACAGCACGAATTTCCTTCTGTGTGATTCTTTACTGAGTCATCCGAAGCACCACACATCTGCCTGCTTGCCTGCCTGCCTGCCTGCCTGCCTGCCTGCCTCCCTCCCTCCCCCTCCCTCCCTCCCTCCCTCCCTCCCTCCCTCCCTCCCTCCCTCCCTCCCTCCCTCCCTCCCTCCCTCCCTCCCTCCCTCCCTCCCTCCCTTCCTCCCTCCCTCCCTTCCTCCCTCCCTTCCTTCCACACCCCCCTCCCCAACCCCCAGTGAAACCTTCCAAGGGAAGTGCCTTCTTATTCTTCAGCATGAAGCCAGATGGTTCCTTTGGCACAGCCTCGCTGCACTCGGGCCGCCCTGTCATCGCCCTTTGTGCTTACTCTCCCCACTTCTCCCGTGTGCATCCCCTAATGCAGTGAAGCCAGCCAAGGGCAGTGCGCTGCTATTCTTCAGCATGAAGCCAGACGGCTCCTTTGACACGGCCTCGCTGCACTCAGGCTGTCCTGTGATCGAAGGGGAGAAGTGGTCCGCCACCAAGTGGATCCACGTTGACTCCTTTGACCCGCCCTTCCGCGACCCCGACGTGTGCCAGGTAGGTAGTGTGGTGTGTTGAGCATGGTGCTATTGCTTTGCTAGTTGTGTTGCTTCTCTCTTCTTCCCAAGTGGATCCATGTTGACTCCTTTGACCCGCCCTTCCGCGACCCGGACGTGTGCCAGGTAGGTAGTGGTGCTGAGAGTGGAATGGAGTGGAGTGGAGTGGAGTGTGTCAGGGAATGGAGTGTGGTGAGGAGGAGTGGATTACGTGTTGAGTTGAGCAAGGTGCTGTTGCTGGTTGTGGGTATGCACATATTTCATGTTTCTTCCTCTGGGGCCGTGACCTGTGTGTGTGAGCGTGCGTGCGTGCGTGCTTGTGTACCCACGAACCACACACACACAGCACCCCTTGCTCCTCCGCGAACCGGGCGTGCATGTGGGTGTGCGTCAATCCACGCACTCAGCCCCCTCCCCTCCCCCCCCCCCCCCCCCCCCCGGTGTCTTCTCCTTCCACCCTCCCTTATGTGTTGTGTCAGGACGACGATGTGAACTGTGGTGACTGGGCACGGGCGGGGAAGAGTTCTCGTGTGGGGGCATCTTCCATTTGTCTTCTCCTCATGTGTCTTCTCCTTTCACCCCCCCTTTGGTGACGCGTATGTGTTGTGTCAGGATGATGATGTGAACTGTGGCGACTGGGCGCGGGCGGGGGAGTGTGAGAGGAACCCCAAGTACATGAACGGCACCGGGAAAACGCAGTATGAGCTGGGGTTCTGCCGCAAGAGCTGTGGGGTTTGCTGAGGAGTGTTGTGCGGTGAGGAAGGGTGGGGTGTGGCAACTGGGAGCGGGCGGGGGAGTGTGAGAGAAACCCCAAGTACATGAAGGGCACCGGGAAAACGCAGTATGAGCTGGGGTTCTGCCGCAAGAGCTGTGGGGTTTGCTGAGGAGTGTTGTGCGGTGAGGAAGGTTGGGGTGTGGCAACTTTGCACAAGCGGGGGAGTGTGAGAGGAACCCCAAGTACATGAAGGGCACCGGGAAAACGCAGTATGAGCTGGGGTTCTGCCGCAAGAGCTGTGGGGTTTGCTGAGGAGTGTTGTGCGGTGAGGAAGGGTGGGGTGTGGCAACTGGGCGCGGGCGGGGGAGTGTGAGAGAAACCCCAAGTACATGAAGGGCACCGGGAAAACGCAGTATGAGCTGGGGTTCTGCCGCAAGAGCTGTGGGGTTTGCTGAGGAGTGTTGTGCGGTGAGGAAGGGTGGGGTGTGGCAACTTTGCACAAGCGGGGGAGTGTGAGAGGAACCCCAAGTACATGAAGGGCACCGGGAAAACGCAGTATGAGCTGGGGTTCTGCCGCAAGAGCTGTGGGGTTTGCTGAGGAGTGTTGTGCGGTGAGGAAGGGTGGGGTGTGGCAACTGGGCACAAGCGGGGGAGTGTGAGAGGAACCCCAAGTACATGAAAGGCACGGGGAAAACGCAGTATGAGCTGGGCTTCTGTCGGAAGAGCTGTGGGGTGTGCTGAGGAGTGGAGTGCGGGTGCGGTGAGGAGGAGTGGGGTGCGGTGAGGAGGAGTGGGAGTTCTGAAGCGAAGGCTCCAACTCGTAGGGAGGAAGTGAAGTGGCTTGTGCTGGTTTGGGGTGGCAGTGTGTGTTTAGCCAGGCTGATTCCTTTGCTAATCGTCAGCTGTCACTCTCCTTTGAGTTTCGTTTAGACATGGCATCTCTTGGCTTGCCGTCACAGGTTGAGGTCAGTGTGAAAGACGGAACTTCGTTATACATTGCGTTTAGATAGTATTTACAAGTGTAGTGACAGATCCAAGGAAATCTGCCTAGCTACAATATCTACACCCAGTGCCATCGGTACAGTATCTACACCACAACCTCCACTTGAACCGTTGCCTGCTCCTTCACTTCTTTCCAGAACAGAGTTTGCTCGCTCTAATTGCTCTGTCAGTGCCGTATCAGACCTCTCCCCCTCCCATTCCTCCTCCCAATCTGCCTGCTTCCATTTCCTCCCCTCTGGTTCACCCACTTCCCTTCCTTTTCCCAACCTTCCTTCTCTGCTCTCCCTTATTTCTTCTTCAATCCTCTCCCTGAGATCTCGTTCCTTCCCGTCTCCTCTCCGGTCCTCCCACTCCACTGGGTCTGGATCTCGCCGAGCCTTGGATTCGCCCCGAGCCTCCAGCTGCTCCGTCCTCCCATGCCCCCACGCGCTGCCAACGCCAGCTAATACAGCAATCACTTCGCCACCAGCAACAGCATATGCAACAGCAGTCGGAGCAGCAGAGGGAGCAGCAGCGGTAGGAGCAGTGAAGGGAGCAGCAGAAGTAGGAGCAGTGAAGGGAGCAATAGCAGTCGGAGCATCAGAGGGAGCAGTAGCAGCAGGAGCAGCAGCCTCTGCAGCAGCAGGCTCAACAGCAACAGGTAGGGAGGAGGAGGAAGTAGGAACAGGAGGAGGAGCAAGTAGGGTGTGAATGCAGGGGGGAGGAGGAACAGAAGGCAGATTATCCAACATCTCCTGAATTTGCTGTTCCAGAGTCAAGTGGCCTTCATTTTTGCAACCACCCCTGCCAACATCAGAGCCGCTGCCACCACCACCACCACAACCGCCAACAACACCACCACCACACCCACCGCCACCACACCCACCACGATCGCCAACACAACCGTCGCTACTGCTTCGGCTGCCGTCATTGCTGCCAGTACCACCACCAGCACCGCTGCCACTAGCCCATTCAACACGCAAAGCAAACCTTCCTCTCCCCCCATCGCTCTCACCACCACCAGCACCGCCAACCAAAGCCGCAGCACCAACCAAAGCCACAGCACCATCAGCTTTACCAAACGCCGCAGCACCGGCACCAACACGGAAAACCGCATTACCATCATTATCACGCACGTCTCCTACCAATTCCCTCTCCGCTGCTGCTACTCGTGCTCTCCTCTCCTCTAATCCCAGCAGCAGTAGATGATTTCTCAGTCGAGTTAGACTGCTCCCACTCCCGTCTCCTCGATCGAAGCCTCTCACTCCTCGCTCTCCTAATCCCAGCAGCACTTGAGCAGCAGCAGCTCCAACGCCCCGATGATCCTCCTCCATCGGCATATGCTTCTCCAGCTGCTCGCTCCCCTTGTGATGGACTGAGTTTCTAGTCGACTGAAAGATCGTTTCAGCGACAGCAGCGCCGTGATGGTCTCCCCGGTGACCTTCATCCATCTCCATATGCTTCTCCAAGTGCCCGCTCTCTCCTCCCTCTTTGGGCTTCTCTCCCCGCTTGGTAGCAGCACGAGCAACAGCATAAGCAGCAGAATCAGCAGCACTGAAAGCGGCAGCGGTGGCAGCAACATCGGTACCAGCAGCAGGAGCAGCAACGGCAGCAGCACCAGGAGCAGCAGGGCGCGCAAGGAGAGCACTCTGGGGCAGCTGGGCATGTTGAGAAGCGGCTTGTTGAGAAGGGCACTCTGGGACATCGGCTCGTCTCATCCCCACCACTGCCTCCATCCATGCCTCAAGGCTCCGCGACGACGGCAGCGACTGGCTCATAGAACCTCTGCTGCTCCTCCTCCTCCTCTCCTCCTCCTCCTGCTCCTCCCCCCTCAGGCAATCGTTGATCTTCCTTGTATTCCTCCCCCTCCTCCTCTCCTCCATCTCCCTCATATACCCACTCAACCCGCTCAGCTGCTCCTCCTTGTGCTGTGCACTGTTCACCACCTCCCACTGTCCGCCATGCCTCACCCCGTCACCACCATCGCCACCACCACCACTACCCCACCCCTCTGCTCCATTCCGCGTGTCCTCCACTCCATGCCACGTGGCAGCTGCGGATTGGGTACCAGCCGCACCAACAGACGACTCATCGACCACGCACGTGCGCACCCTCACTGGCTTCGCATCCCGAAGCATCCAGGAAGGTGCCTCCAGCCGCCACGTAGGCGACTCCAGCGTCTGCTGACGTGGATTTGGAAAAGGGCGCGGGTTGAGCTGATTGGCTGGAAGCTGGAAAGGTGTCATCCCGAGTGTATCAGCAGATTTGCCGACAAATGGTGGAGCGGAACGGAATGGGGGGACGCTGGCGGTAGAAAAGTTGGAAACTCCATATTTCTTAGTCGGCTCGAAAGCGGGTGTCACCTTGACTGTATCAGCAGAGTTGGCGACAAATGGTGGGGCGGAACGGAATGGGGGGACGCTGGCAGAAGCAAGGTTGGGAATGACGGTTATTTTCGTCGGCTCAGTATTGGGTGTCGTTTTGTTGGGGTCGGCAGTTCGAATGCTGTTTGCTGGTGCGGATGCTGGTGCGGAGGGGAAGGGTGGGGCAGCAGTAAGGGCGGAGAGGGCCTGTTGCTGCAGCAGCCATAATCGCATCCATGGCGGTGCCCTTGCTGCTGCTGCTGCTGCTACTGCTGCCGTTGCCTTTGCGTCCACGTTTAAGTCACATTGCTCTAGAGGAGGCATGCCGATGCCGCCAGAAGAGCGAAAAGAACGGTGGGGCGATTGTGGGAGCAATTGGGAGGGCAGTTGGGAGGACAACTGCAAAGGCTGAGAGGGCTTGGAGAGGCGTTCAGAGGGCCCTCGGTGCCACTGGCTTGACGCACCGGCTGCAGCAGCTGCTGTTCTGGCTGATGCGTCGCTCATGGCTCTAGCTGGGTTGTTGGCAGCATTCGCAGGTGTAGCTGCTGTAGCGGGGTGAGTTGTATTCGCCGTTGCAGCGGGGTCGGCCATTATGGGTGGTCCACGTGGCATGGATGACAAGGGGTTGTCCTGCCACGTGTCATGCTGCAGCAGCCTTGACTGATACGTGTGCGTGGCGCTGGCGCTGGGTGGCATGCCATGCGGCTTCTCTGCTCCGCCCCACGATCCTTTCCATGCTGAGCTGGCAGATGGCCGACACGCGTCAGCTGATGTTGCGAACACGTCAGCAGGTGTATTATCTGCGTCAGCAGGTGCCACGTGTGCATCCTCCAGCCTTCTTGACGACTTTAACTGAGGGGAACAGGGAGAGGCGCCCAATGTTGGTGGCTGCTGGGATGGGAAGAAGCGTGATAGCCAGCGAAGATGGTTGTCTGCGGTATTGTGTGGTTCCCGCAGCATTAACGCTGCAGCACGAACAGCAGTAGCAGTAGCACTTGAACTAGCACCAGCACCAGTAGCAGCAGTCGCAGAAGCAGCAGCAGTGCTCTCGTTATAAGCATGCTGCTGGACCCGCTGACGCACAGTGCCCCATTTCGAGCTTAAAACGAATGCAGCTCCTTTGGCAGAACCAACTGCAGCAGCTGTGGCAGAGGCAGACGCAGTGGAAGCAGCAGCAGTGGCAGCCACATCGCTAGGTGCTGCGGCAGCAGTTGCGGCAGCGGAAGGAGCTGAGAAAGCATCTCTGAGGCGTTTACTACTGCTCCCAGGCGTGCAAGAATCCTCTTGGAAGTTCACAGGGTAGTAGTCTGGAAGAAAACTGCTACTCGTGGCATTATTAGTAGCCCCGCCTTGGCCTGGTGTTTGTAGCAGCATTCCTCCGCCACCTACTACTGGCGGAAACCACCGGCTGGGGGCGCTTCCGCTTACTCCGCCTCCCCCCTTGCCTCCCGCCCTAGAATTGCCCCCGGCGGCGGAGCTGTTCCCCCCGTTGTGCGCGGATTTATGTCCGCCGAGCGCCTGCAGCGAGCGAAAGCGAGCTCCGCACGTGAGGCACGTGAACTGCGGCAGTTCCAGCGCTGCCATACTGACACAGTTTGAGCGAGCGTCGGGAAATTTGAGCCAGCGTCGGGAAATTTGCGCCAGCGTCCCCACCAGTCTCCAGAATTGTGGAAAATTGGATCGTGCAGAGCCTCAGGTGCAGAGCCTTAGGTTTTGGGAAATTCGGGGTGCTTGAGAGGTTTCTAGGAATCAGCGGCTGATTGCAGCATCATGCGTTCTAAAACTCTGTTGTGCGAGAGGCTAAAACTGCAGAGTGAGAGCGACACTGTCACCAGGGTGCTCATACATAGTGCTTGCGGTCGGCAGGCGGCACTGTTTGGTTGAAAGCTAACAGAGCATGTAGAGAGCTGCAATTCTTTCCGCGATGACAAAGAGAGGCAGAAAGGCAATCCTGGGCTTTTCAGAGCAAGACTGGGAGGCTTCCAGGCAGACTGTCACGTCATCCCATGACACATTTGGATTATCGAGGATCTCGGCAGTGTTTCTTCACGGAAGCATGGCTCTCCCGACGCGTTGGGGAGGGCCGCTACGTTCTGTTCTTGGAGAATCTCTGCGTTCTGCTCCACACTCGAGTGTCACCTGAGGCCGTGAAAAAACAGGGGTCGAACAGGCCTCCTGAGGGGTCCGGAGAGGGGCTACCGTCGAGGAGTCCTGAGGAGGTCGGAGGCTGCGCTGTCTTCTTCAAGACTAATACTAGCTTTGGGACTGGACGATGACATTTTTCCGGGACTGATGCCGAGCTGAGCGTGCTTTCGGAAAAGCAAGTTGAGTCAGTAAGTGGCGATTCGGAGTGGGAAAGAGTTGCCTGGTCAACCCATCGGCAGCTCGGATGCTGGGAGAAACAGCTGCTTGCCGTACAAATCGACCCGAAATAGCGGCTTTTTTTGACCAAACGCTTCGCGCTTTCTTGAGATGTCGGTGAAAGTGGAGATGGGATGGGAGCATTGATTGCTTCGCGCCATTGTCTATGGATGTTCTAGCTTGACGGTTGGCAGAGAGGCAGACTTGCCGTGCTGCGCTGTACAAAAGCGTCGGCTGACTGCCATTCGCGTTGCCTCCAGCTGGTGCTGTGTTTCTGTTGAATCCACCTATGACATCATGCTTCACGAGGTGAGAGGCCATCGAAACTGCCAGTTCCAGTGCACCGTATTTCATAAACACGTATGTATCTACTGTATCTAGCCTTCTAGGGCTGCTGGCAGTTCCGTGTTGCAAGGACCTCTCAACTAAACTTCAGCAACAGGCGAAGCGTAAAAGGGTGCGGTAGCAGCCACGAGGGAGCAGCAGAATAATGGCCTGTAGGGGCGTGGGGTGCGGATGGGTGAATTCGAAAAGTGAAATACTACTGTAGTTTGCTTGGTTTCGAAACTGTCCCAAATAAACAATCTCGTTCTATGTGTACCAATGAATTTTGGTGCTTGCGAGTTTAGGGTGACGCGACGCGAGCACATGACCAGAAATGTACAAAAACCCCCCGACTGACCAAGACCAACAAATGGGTGTCACTCAATTCCCATGATGGAGGAACTGCTGCCAGCTCATTGGATCCGTGTTGCTGACGTTGTGGGCAGTTTTACTCGTGCGCCATCATATTACTGAGCCTGGTCATGGGAGACGGATTGACGTAATTCGTTGACAGTTGTCCCTTCATGACAGCGAAATGCTGCTCACGTGACACAACAGCTGTGCTGTAACCCATCTCCCAGAAAGTCGGGAGAAATGTGGTCAACATAGCTCGACCATCCACAGGTCTGGACACTGCCGTCGTCACCCACGAAACATTAAATTTCGCGAATCAGCGACCACGATTTCATCCCCGCTAGTGGTGACTACTCGTATATCCGCAACCCTGGAAACAATAAGGGTCATATTTGGTATACAAAACTGTGAGGCAACTCTATATACAAGTAGAGTCTGGTGGGTTTTCCTTACAAGTTCCATTTCACCTCACCCTTCGGCGTTTTCAAGCCACCCTAACAAATCGTCACTGTAAGGGTCAGCGGCTATTGACCAGTCAAGGTCATTACTAGTTAGACCATTTGCATCATTCCCTCGTGCAATGGTCGTGAGCATGCTAGCAACGGCATCTTCCGGTAAGGCAAGGAGCCCGCATGAGTTAACGTGGAGATCAGGGTGGGATGCAATACTATGCGGGAGATGAGCCGGAGGAGTAGCCGGGGAAGGAAAATTTTGTGGAAATGTAGTTTGCAAACAAGTTGGAAATGGAGGTAAGGAGTAACTGGGATGGGGAAGTGGGGTATGCAATGTCGAGCGTGCATGCATTGGGGTATCTGTAAGGGAGGATGAGGAAAGAGGAGGCTTATTGTCACGGGCCAATGGCAGGCCTTCCGATGCGCTTGTCTCCATCCAAATTGTCTGAAGCTCGCATTGTTTGTCTGGTCCTTGAAACTGACCCG